CACACACACACAACAACGTATGTGCTGGCCATCTGTCCAGCCTCTCCTGACATGTGTGCATGCTGCTAAGACAAATTTTAATGTTTTACATGTGTAGCAACAATGTATGTATTGATGCAAAAGAACACCTCTGATTGGTTGCAGGAGGACAGGAATTTATATATGGCCATAGGCCCAAAACATTTCACGATGCAGTCAGTAGAAATATTCATCAGACTGTCATCAGAATATGTCTTCACACTGTCGCAGACATTATCAATCATTCCATTTCTGTTATTTAGGATAGAAAATTTGTGAATCTAGCAAAGCTGAATTAATTCTCAAGTGCTCTTGCTGTTTTTAAAAATCACAATACTTGTCTTCCGTACTATGGCAGTATCATCATGGAAATGAATGCTTTAATTATGTTTGTGTAATGTGAATGAGATTTCAAATGGCCACTACATGCAAAGAAATAGGGTTGTTCTTGTTCTAGGTCATTCAGGTCTATGTAAGAAGCTCTATATCTGTAGATCTTTGCACATAGCAGTTATTTGTTATTTATTAAGATGTAAAAAGTTTTCACTACATATATTTTGTGACATAAATATGTGTTAGGTTTTTTTCTGTCATAATTATTGGGTTTTTTTCCCCCACATTTTTTCAACACAGCTTGTTGGCACACCCTACTACATGTCTCCAGAAATAATGAAGGGTGAAAAGTAAGTATAAATTGCTATGCATTTCTGCTCAGGGGCATACAGAATTATTCGTGTAGGACTTTTCATTAATGCATATAATGCGCTGTGTAACATATTGTTGCATCTATAACATATCGAGATTAAACTTTTACATCCACATTGGGAGACAATTACTGTCTTATTTAATTCCTGTTGGTCTGTTATTTCTATCTGTTGTTTTCTCAAGGGAATGGCCTTTATTATGCTGGAATTCTTCTTTCTCTCTGGCTCAAGCAAATAAAATAAACACTGAAATATTAAAAAACCAAAGAGTGGAATTGACAACTAGGCTACTAATTGTACTTCGTTCAAGAACCTTTTGAAAGAAATTCCATTATGAAATTTTAGTGTCAGATTAATTCTCATTGAGTCCTTTTTTAAAAAGTCTTTTTTTTTTTTAAACCTAGTGTTAATGATATAATGTGCTGTGGTCCTTGTTTAATTCCTGCTGGCATTTTTTGCTTCTGTCATGCCTATCATTTTGATTGTCACCTTGCATCTTTTGTAAAGATTGCTTATAATTTTAAACAGATATATGATTTTTTTGGCTTTAAAAATTATATTCTCTTCAAGGTATAATTTCCAGAGTGACATATGGGCTCTAGGATGTGTTTTATATGAAATGCTGACCCTATCAAGGACTTTCCAAGCAACGGTAAGTCACTTGTAAAGACCAGTCATACTATATATAGTTTTTCATAGCTCTGGTGTAACTGATACATTTACTCTTTTTTCTCTTTTTTAATGTGTTACAATGTGAACTGATTGAGCTGGACTTTCTTTTGCGGAAAGTTTTTTTGGGTGTTGGCATGAGATGCATATCTTTGTGTGTATGTGTGTGTGTGTGTGAGTGTTTGTGTGTGTGTGTGTGTGTGTGTGTGTGTGTGTGTGTGTGTGTGTGTGTGTTTATGATTGTGGGTGAGTTTGTGTGTGCACGTGTAAGTGTGTGCGTGCGTGTGTGTGTGCGTGCATGTGTATGTGTGCGTGCATTAGTGTGTCTTTAAAAAATTTTTGTAATGAATGTTTGTAGGTATGTGAGCTAGTGTAGATAAGTGATACAAATGTGCTTACACTTCTAAGTGATTTTTTAGAACGCACCTAAACATTATTTATCCCTTTACTTTTCTTGTGCATATTATTGATATCCTTTTCAGCCTTATTAAACACCCTTTATGAGACTATGCTCCCTTTGTTTCTGGACATTTTAGGTCGAAGAAGAGACAGCTTGAGTGTGCAGTGTATGAATACCTCAATGGAAAGAGTGTTATATTTACCAAAATATCAAAGTAAGACATGACGAAGAAGCATTGTTGTCTTTCACAATGTTTTCCTGACAAAGAAAAACTCAAACAATATTTTTCTTTACAGAATCCTCTGAAGTTAGCATTGGATATAGTCAAATCTGACCACACAGGCATCAACAAGTGTTACAGTGATGGAATGCGGAATCTGGTCGATATCATGCTTAGAAAGGTTTGTTTCCTTACACTGACTTTATTTAGGGACATATGTTCAGCCTTTTCATTCGAGTTGATTTATCTTGTGGCAAACACCAATCTGTTTTCATCTTTCGCTCTTCTTTCTTTTGCATGCATTATTCTTCCTTTCAAATTCTTCTTCATGTTTGAGGTTTATTGTTGTGTAGACTATCGCATTAAAAGAGTAGGCTGGATGTGTATCTTTTTCAGTTTTGTATCCCCTTAGAATGAAGGTTTGCAAGTTAACACTTCCCTCAGGTGGCTGTCCTATTCTTGTGTTGTCTCAGCAAACATAAAGTGTTTCTGTCTGTGAAGCTCATCTTGGCTCATATCACCATTGCTTTCATATTCTGTCTCTACATATCAGCAAGTAATTGTTTGCAGCCCGATTAAATTTAGCGAATAATAACTGAGAACTATACTCACTATTTCAATGTTCTCTCTTCTTGCCAGTGACTCTATCTTTTTAATTTATAACAATGAAATCTTTGAGAAGGTCCTTCTATTCAAATGTTCTGCTATTTTGACTATGTGAAGAAACCAGAAGAAAGACCAACAGCTGAGGAGCTCCTAGCTCGGCCTCTGTTGGCCAGTTCTCTCTTAAAGATGGAACAAAAAGTTTATGAGCTGAACTCAACAACCAGGAGGACACGCCTCTCTGCAGCGTCCACCTCAAACTCCGTCTCTGTGGTCACCTCTAAGATGTGTGAGGTATGTTTTTCTTTGAATTTATTACCCTTTTAGCACCATAAATAGGTCAGCAGGTCAACGCAGCAGAACCAGAATGGTGGCCATCGGATGACTTCCCAGAATCGAATTATTTCAGTGTTTTTCAGAAGTTCAGGGGGTGTAACAAAGAAATTGCTTTTGCTTTTGATCTAAGCGGCGTATTTCAATGAAATTTCACATACAAAGACCTAGAACATCAGCATCTAAATTTAAAGTGGAATGTTCTTATTTATAAGCCTGCACTAAAGGCGGGGGTGTCAGGCTGGTAAACACCGCTATGGCTCCCCAGGGGGAAGGCCAGTAAAAGTTGGTATGACAACATGACGGGAAAGCCGGTTTAGGCTCATAAGACTTAAAAAGGTTTAATGCATCATCATGTTTTGCTTGTATGCAGATTCCAAGGAAATAGAGCAAGAAGCAAGGTATAAAAGAGTAAAAGGACCAGATTACTTGCAGTAGATGTTTCTGTAGTTTTATGTGTGTTTTTATTTGTTTTTGAGGACTTTTTAGACAGTTTTAAACGTGAACATTTTAGTATTTGAAAAATGTTTATTGTTGGTCTTTACTTACAGGCCAAAGTAGATAATTATCTTTCTTTGTAATTTTAGAAATGACTCCAACAAGGGAATTTGTCGAAACACTTGCATGTATTTAAAACCAGACATTTGTTTTCTGTCCCAGGATTGTGAGCTATTTTTTAAAAATAGAAAAGCAAACAAACTGTGATCTGGTTATAAGCTTTCATTATCAAGGCCAATTACATCATGAGCATATTTTTTCTTGTTGTTTGTCAATTTTATACTTCTCATGATTTTTTTCTTGTAACTGAAGAAGATAAACAGATTTGGGTAAAACTATCTCTTTCAAGAAAAGATTTTGCTCCCCCCCCCCCCACTAATTTGGTAAACAGTGTTCCTGCCTGTAGTGTGACAAAAGAAATGAAAAAGCAAGCAAACCCCCCAAACAACGACCACACAAGTTGTTTCAGTCCTATGGATTATAAAGCAGAATATGCAACAGTTGCAAGTGGAGGGGGGGGGGGGGGAGAGTGGGCGAATGGCAAAGTCACCCACATTGTTGATAGCACTTTTTCAAGCTGATACCATGTTCTTCTTCTTTTTTTTTTTTCTTCATTTTTCTCTTTTTTTTTTTTCTTCATTTTTCTCTTTTTTTTCTGAACAGATTTACCAGTGGGGAGGGGGAAAAATGACTCCTCAAAAGCTTGAGATGTTCACCAGAGAGAAAAGTCCGATGCAGGTGACTTGCTCATTATGTTTAGAAAGATTCTTTTTCAATAAGACAGGATTGTCATAAACTAATGCTTCACCTTTCTTAATAGATATGTCTTTTTAAATTATAATTTTAGCTTGTTTGTAAGCAAGCTTATATATAGCTTTTTAAAATACTTTTATTTCATGATGATAAGATTATATTAATAGATTAATGTACGATCACTAGTAATGAAAAAAAGGCATATAAAAATGGTTTCTTTCTTTTTTACTTCTTGTCTGATGCTGAGAGAAAATTTGATAAAAGCCTCTGGTAATCTTTATACTGCAATGTAGCTCTCAAAATGTATTCTAAGGTGGTTTTGTATTTTTGTCGGAGAAAGTAGACCTTTTATTTTGTTTTGATTGTTCTAGATTGTTCTTTTGGACCTTGCAACATTGAAAGTTGTTACAGGTGAACACAATATGTTTAAAGAAGTACATATGTCTACCCAAAGTTCAGCATTTGTGGCTTTCTGCTTCCTGCCATTTTATATTCTCAGTTCATATGTGGCTGGTTGGTGGATGCTCTGGTGTGGTTTGCTCCTTCTTTCCAATGCGAAGCATCTATTGTCCATATCTCTGCTGTCGTAAGGGAAAATGACGAATGGTCAAAATTTTTGCATTTTTTAATTTTTACATATTTCATAGAGTATTTAATTCTGCATCTGATGGTGTAAAAATTGTTGTCATATCCTAGTCCATTGTTGCGTAATTGAGAGTTCGTCGGTTTCTCGTACACTGGCTAGCTCTGAGCCAGAGCTCACTAAGGGAGAACGACGAATGGTCGATCGGTCAAGGATCACTGCTCGATCGGCGGTCAGGCAAATTCGGCATGGGCGACGAATGACAATAATAGGTCACTGTTGCGTCCGTACAAATATACTCTGCCTTTTTAGCAAACAATCACACCACCACCACTTCCCCCAGAGTACAATCGACCAGGATTATAAGAATGTATCACTTAGTGTGTCTTTCTATCTGTCTTCACGTATTAGGCCTATGCTGATGGTATGAATTGACAAGAGCAGACGGGAGAGAGGGGAAAACGGATGAGAACAGGGGGAAAGGGGTGGGTATGGGAGGTTTAAAAAAGTATTTAGGGAGACATCAATTAGCACTGCATATTAGTGTCCCCCAGATGTTCACAGACTGACGTTATATTAGTCTGTGGTCCAGTCATTTTACATCCCAATGATGATTATAGTGCCGCAATTTGTCTAGCACATGTCACTTGTTGACATCATTATAGAATTACCAAGCAATTAATGACACTGCATTATGAGAATAAATTTCTTTGTCCAACTTCAAAAGTGGATGTATTATGACGACACAGTCTTTCTTTACGATTTCTTTATGACTTGATGGACGTTACGATCGAGTATAATAATGTCTTGCAGATTCAAACTGTCCTTGTTGATATCTACTTGGTGGTATCTTTTCCAATCAACTGAATCCTTTATTAAATACGACTGAAGCTTTACAAAGTGTCACATTACCACTCCTGAGAGCAATTGTGATATGAGCATGTCAGATTGCTACCTTTCTTACGTGAAAGTTTGACTTTGTAATGATCTGATTGTATTATTGACATTGTAACATTATTGATCCCTTAAAATTTGGTCGTGAAGGGTGAATGTTGCAATTAGCGAAAATAAAAGTAAAACTCGCTTCTGAAGAGAATACTGTACAAGAAAGAGATATCATGGAGACCAAACTTTGATTCTGAAAAAGACAGTTTTAAATCAAGCTGTTGAAAATGTGTATGTATGTAACACTTCTTATTTGTACATTGACTACGTAGTATTTAAGCAAGCGAGGAAGGGAAACGAGGAACGCTCACAGGTTACAGTTGGGATATAACAGACACCTAACTTTATACATATAATAGCTAGTTCGTATACGGCTTATTTTTATTTGTAGTAACCTGTACACAGTCATCACTGTCAATAATGCGTCACAACTGACCATCGCCCACACCCATAACCCTTCATGAGTGTAAAGGAGAACGACGAACAATACCATTCGTCGTTTTCGCATACATCGCAAGGCTCACCTGCGGCCGCGCAGTGTAAAGGAGAACAACGAATGTCGAATAACTTTTGCTACTTTTCAACTTAAACCATTCAAACTTAAGAAACTGCTTTATGAACACCTTAACCAGAAGTCTGGTGAATTACAGCTTAAAAGAATAAAAAATAGAATAGTTATAAAATGAAAATGTTTTTTGCCTCTCCTGAAAAATTTGCCACTCTACCTGCGCTGGACCATTCGTCGTTTTCCCTTACGACGGCAGATCTCCCCTCCTTATTTTTTATGTTCGTTCCGATTTTATAGCACCTCTAATCATTGCCACTATATGACCTTATTGTGTTGCAAGTGCCTTAAAACTATAAAATAAATCAGTCCGTTCATATAGCTACAATGTTGGGTATAATTTCTTATCCGTCACTTTGCAACATTTGGCAAATATATTAGTTTCTGTATGAACAAACTGTGTCCGTTTATGCTATGCTTCTGTACATTTGAGTTTTCAGTCTCCTATACCTGCTCAATAAATGCATCTACTTTCTAGGTTGCTGCAGGTCATTGTCATTTTGCTGCCATTACGTTTGAGAAGGAACTCTACACTTGGGCTGTAAGTTGTCTAAAACCTAAAGAAACATTCTTTTTCTTTACCTGTTGTAAGTGCTCATATGACCTTATGCAGTTGCGAGCGCCGTAAAACCCTCTACTATAAAAAAAAAAAATATACCTGTTGTAACTGTTTATTAAATTGTTAGATGGGAGAATACAGTTGACTGGGATCTGTGGAGCCGCGCTTAGACGCTTCTCTGTGGCATACAGGAGACTTGAGTTTGATTCCTGAAGAGGGAGAACATTTTTATATTGTATCTTAGTCTTTCTGCTAGGATGTTATATCCCTCTCAGCCCGGGTTGGTTCTGACTGGAAGGGTCAGAAGCCTGCCTCCTAAATAATCTTAATTGTGTCGCTTGGTACGTTAAAAACACCTACATAAAAAAAGAATACAATTGAGTACATAAGATTGTTGTTGCAGGAGAAAAGAGATTGATTAATGTGTGGATGTTTTTTTGTTTTGTTTATTGCCGTATACTATCTATTTGATAAAAGTAGTGTTTATTTCTCACATCATTCTCCCTTCTTTAGTTTATTTATGATCTTCTTTATTTTCTCAAATAATTCTGTAACTTTCGAAAAGTCAAGTTGTTTTCTAAAATATATGTATTAAAAATTATTTTCTTTTTAAATTGAAAAGTGTATTACATTGGAGTATATTGAATCATGTGTATTATTTGCAGCACCATAAAGGGTAGTGAGAAGTGAGAGGAATAGATTCACTTTTCCTTTTTCAACATTTTCTCAGAGTTGATGTACTATCTTTTCAGAACCCCCAGGGAGGAGTAGGCATGGTAGGACAACTTGGGCATGGGGACACAGCTTCGTACAAAGCTCCAAAACGTGTTGATGCTTTGCTGAGCATGCCAGTTCATCAGGTTGCTTGTGGTGAAGACTTTACTCTGTGTGTCTCAGGTAGGTCTAATTCGAACTTCCTGGAACTGTGTAACTTATTGGAGATCTTTTAGGAGGTGGCAACTACAAATAATCATCTGTTCTTAGTTTTCCCCGTCACTTTATGATCATGGTTGTGTATGCCTTCTCACAACCTCAAACCAATGAATGGATAAACAAGCAAATAAAAAACAACTCATTATTTTGCTTTGGATAAGTTCCTATTGATATGCTGACTCTGGTATTGTCTCCTCTTCAGATGATGGAGCTCTTTATGCTTTTGGCTCCGACTACTACGGCTGTTTGGGTTGTGAGGGGGAAGATGAGGAAGTCTTGGTCCCAGTTGTTGTGGACTTCTTCTCGGACCACCCGGTGCTGGAGGTGGCGTGTGGAGACAACCATGTGATTGCCCTCACTCACTACCGAGATGTCTACACTTGGGGCTCGGGAGAGTTTGGTATACTTCCTTTACTTTTCAATCCTCTTTTGCTGTTAAACATCGAGGGGAGATGCAGTTTTTTTTATGGTTGGCCAGCTCTGAAGCTCTTTCAGTTGGGATATTATAATTTTTCAGGGTGTCCTTGACTTTCTCAATCCGTCTTTTGCATGGTCTACCTCTTCCTTTATAGCCTTAGTACTTGATGTTATAGGCTCTCAAGGCTGGCTGGCTAGGTGACATTTGTATCAGGTGACAGAACCATTTTATTCTCTATTTTTTCTATGAAATGCAGGCAGGGCTCAGTGCCAATAGTTGCTCTTACTTCTTTATTTCTTTGCCTGTCTCATCTTGGTATGTGTCAGTTAAATATGGTTACCATAATACTGTGTTGGAAAGTCATACTGGTGCTGAAGGGGAACTCTTTAGTTTAACCCTTGGAGACTTTATTTCAAGAATCTTTTCTTATCTATACTTTGTTATGAATTGTGGCATTCTCTCAAAAGAAATCCTGAATTCAGTCTTGAATTCATGCTATTGCTATGGACCTGATTCTACCGAGAGTCTTTGATAAGGATTTCCAATATATTAGCCGTGCTCTTAAGTGATGTATTCTGAAATACGCAGGTAGAAAGTGCACTACTTATTGAGCCAAAAGGAATACTCATTTTCCTGTCGATTGTTCTCAGAATATTAAGTTTCCAATAAGGTAAACACATTCATACATTCAGGTTAATGAGATATTCAGAGCACCAGTAGATTTTACAGTAATTTTATATTGTGTTGTTTGTTAAGGTATGTAAATGTGATTTTAATTGACATTAATGAGTCGATCTCTCTGTATGTGTTCTTTATTTTCGAGAGAGAAGACTTTTGCTTCATTTGGTTATCCCATTTGGATGTTTTGAGTTCTGAATGGGGTATGTGTATCCTGTGAAAATTTCATATTTGTGTCATGGCGCTGGAATCAGGCGCTTGTCAATTTGTGGGCATATGGAGTTATTGGTATCATCTTAAAGGTTGTTCAATTGCCTTGCTTTCTTTGAAAAAAATATCCATTTATCTTGAATAGAAGTTGAGATGTTTGCGATTGAAGGAGGTGAGGTCACCTGGTTTCAGATGTAAAATTAACGAGAAAATGGCTGCCAAATTTTGGTGACTTTCATAGCTTAAGAGTCCTTGGAAACTGCAAATTTATATATTTTTTGTGCTTTTAATCCTCAACGTTCTTCCTTAAAATCTTTGCATAAATGTGTTTTTGAATGGACATAGAAGGTGTTGAGCCGAAAAAAATGTCCAAACTGGCAAAAAGATACCAATTTCTCCGATTGCTGTATTTTGACAAATGCCTGATTTCACCACGATGCCTCACATTTGTTTTTTGTGTGGTGAACTCCACAGGCAGACTTGGATTAGGTTCAGAGGATGATTTCAACACACCTCAAAAGGTAAAGTCTAGGACGTAGTTGCTCTAAGTTTGTACTAAATCCTGTCTAATACATTATTTCTTTATGTCAATGTGCTTTTTTAAAACACTACATAACTGATTTTGTTTTGTTGAAAATAGAGATGTGTCAACTGGGAGAGAATTGAATTATATTTTTTTTTCGTCTTTGGTGATCTGATAGAGTAGAGCGAAGTGTGTGTGTGTGTGTGTGTGTGTGTGTGTGTGTGTGTGTGTGTGAATGTGTGTTTGTGTGTGTGTGTGTGTGAGTGTGTGTGTGTGTGTGTGATCAAGAAATTTACCTAGCTGTGTGTAATGTGCTTCCCTTTCAACCCAATCTTGAACTGAACTTAATATAAATGTAAAACAGTCAACCTATGGTACAGCTTGCTTCCTCTCAACAGTGAATTTAACTCAGTCAACCAAATGAACAACAGAACAATCTATGAATCATCAACCTTTCTGCCGACTAATCAGTCAGTCGGTCAGTCAGGCAACAAATTGATTAATCGATCAATCAACCAATCAACAAATGAGCCAGCCAATCAACCAACCAACCAACAAAAAAATTCAAAATATCATGTTCAGTGCTTCATATTTGAATCAACCATGAATAAGCTGAATCTAGTTATCAATCAACCTTTTATGCAGTCAATCTATTGTTTATTTGTGTAAGTGTGCTTCTCTCTTAACTCAACACCTTACTGAAATCCCTCCTCCAGGTGGATATCCCGGTGAAGCAGCAGATAAAGAGCGTATGTGCAGGAAGTGACAGCTCATTCCTGCTCTGCTCCAGTGGACGTCTGCTGGCCTGTGGCAGTAACCAGTTCAACAAGCTCGGGTTTAATAGCCAGACGTCAGGACTTCGAAAGAGAAAGGCTAAGGTACAATATTATTCTGCATCAAATATTCAAAAAACTTTTTTGCAATAGAAAACTCATTACTTAAAGCAATACCATGTTTCATTTTGGCTTTAGAAGAAAGTAGGATTACTTTGTTGGCTAAAATCTTTTACATCATAATGAATTGTTCAATCATGAAAACTGAAATTTCATTTAGCAAAATTCCTTTTATTCTAAGATCGTAACGTCTATGATCCACACAGAACATTGTCAAAAAGTTTTAAAAGGGAGTGAGTTCAGATTCAATAATAAACACATTTGTGAGTTAATGATAAACAAAGTCGGCAATTTCCTTTTTAATTTTTGTTGTTGTTTTCTTTAGAGACTTGAATTTTGAGAAAAAGTTCTCAATAACATTGTTAAGTTCAAAACAATATATTGCCAGACTTATTTTGATTGAAAAAGAGAGAAAGTCAATAAACCCCGAGTCTAAGTACGAGCTTTGCAGGGACAGAAAATTCTGGAACATCTGAATGGCATTTGGTTAATTATCTAGACTCTTTATGCATTTTCAGACATTTGACATCCCTCACAGAGACAGATTCAGCACTGTGAAGCCTCTCACGGGCAAGAATGTGATGGTAGTGGCAGCGGGGAAAACCCACTCAGGGGTCATTGACTGTAAGTTCCATGGTCAAGAGATGTAATAAGTATTTTGTGAGTTGGTGAGGGATTGCATGTGATCTACAGAAAAGTGGGAAGACATGGAATAATGTCAAGAAAGTATCTTAAGATGGAGGAAAAAGGAAACGGTTTAATGGCTGCCTATACCCTGATCTAGGGTGAGAGAGGCAATGTTAATGAAAAATGATTTTTATGAGTTTTTACTAGACTATTAAAATGGTGCAATTCTACATGTTATTACTTAATAGTATTAAAGACGAATTTCCTTTTCTAAATTCACCAATTGCTTTTATGAAAAATGTGATAACTTTTATTCAAGATATGTTGTAAAGACATATAGAGCTGCTGAAAGTATGATCTATTGTCTGCTCGATCTTTACCTTGTGCGCGTGTTGTAATTGCAATAAATCGAAGGACAGCTTGCTTCTTATTTTGACTGATTTGAGCCCCATCTTCAAATGCATTTGTTCCTTTTCAGCATTTGGCCATCTGTACATGTTTGGCTCCAACAAGTTTGGTCAGCTGGGTGTGGGAGACTTCAAGGCTCGTCCTGGGGTGTGTCGTGTGGGAGGGGTCCTGGCTGGCCAGCGCGTGGAGACACTGGCTTGTGGGGATGGGTTTACTGTCGCTTCCACAAATGGTAAGAATATAGTGAGATTCCACATCTTACGTTATGTTAAAGCTAAGACCTTGTGACCTTGTTTTGGATATTTATAAAAGTAAATAGTAGAGAGGGAAGGTGAGACTTTTAAAAACAGATGTTAGTCGATGTGAATGCACAGAAATCCTGAATAATCCACTTCATAATCTAACTTATTATAGCTTGTGTAAAACATTTATTGTATTGATAATTAATGAGTTATTAGTACACTATTAGTCATACAAAAGTTTTAATTTAAACATCCAAGTTTTGTTCCTGTTTTTTTCTAGAAAACCAGATTTACTCTTGGGGAAATGGTGAAAGTGGCCGGCTTGGTGCAAACTTCACAGATCAAGGAATTGGCCCCAATAGCATGTGTACAGCATTTCCCAGACCCATTTTTGGGTCCATGCACCTGGTCTCATGTATGTCTTGCAGGCACTGGAACACTCTCATTATTGCAGGTAAGGCATGCACTAGAAGGACTTTATGGTATGACCTTTCCTTCCTACAATGACATTGTTGAATCACACTAATTTGGTTTTCATTCTTATCTTGTTTGTCCAGTGAAAAACCCTCCCCCCCTTCCCCCCAATCACCCCACTTACTTTGAGTAGACATTGACAATAGGAAAATAAGTGAAAAACAGCTTACTAAAGTAATAAAATCTTGGCTTGATTTAGGGTTTTTAAAATCATTTTTGATATTACATCCTATTGTTTAGTTTTGGTAACACATTTTGTACCTTGCACAAGAATTCTTTGTGCACATCATTTGTCTCTAGCTGGCCTCGCATGGCTATTCCTTGTTTGAAAAAATGCCTGTAAAACATCGAATAAATATGATCACATGTATGTTTTTTGTTGGAAAACTTGAACATTTCTTTGGGCAGGGGATACTGTTCTTGGCAAATTTACTAGGTGTGAAATGAGTTAAGTGTGAGTAAATCGCTTCGTTCATCTACCACTGATAACAACAAAGTGAAATAATGAGGTCAAAAAGAATAAATGAGAATGATCAAAACAGTTGGAAATTTGTGAGTAATGTGAGGAAACTTAGCCCTCTGGGATTGTCTTGCTTATCTCATACCCAGTACTGAAAGTGACTCAGATCACGCTTAGGAGTTTCCCAATTAATAATGTTTTCACTTTGGTTTTGGATTGTCTTCCTCAGAAAAAGTTTTAAATCAAAAGACTCTCAAATCAAGGGTATCATCCCCAAAGCGTAAGTATTATTTCTCAATTTTGAAAAGCATTTTTGCATTAATTTTTTAAAATTTCTAAATACTAACCTTTTGTTTTTGGTGTTTTTGTAATAGGGCATTTTAGAGAAAAATATTTGAGTATATCTTATCTCATGTGTATGTAAAGTGAAACTTAGTACACAGACATGCAAGTCACTGGTGTCTGATGTTGACCGACTATTTTAGTCTCTAGTACATTTTTGTTGATGTTAAATGAAATTCTGATTGTGAAAGCTCTATTAGATTCATTAAATGTGGATGAAATGTCAATTTTTTGCTAATACTATATGCACCGTTTCTCTTTTTTTGCGAATAGAAATTTGGCCACCTTCAGAAAAAAAAGGTATTTGTTTTTCATGCAAATGAGTGATCAAAATCAGCATGTGCATGACTGGCAATTTACCTTGTGTATATGGTATTGTGCAACGCTTGCATTGTAAATGCTTTTCTTTTTTGGTGGCCTATTGATAGTTTATTATGGTGTATGTTCCGGTGTTTTGATTTCACTATTCTTTTATAGAAAGTATCAGAAACTCAGATACATACCTCTTTGAAAATTGCATATTTTATTTCTTTTGAAAAAAAAGAAGAGGGACGGAGAGAAAAGGGATAGGAGGGTGGGGATTTTGCTTTTCATCTTTCTCTTTTAAAGTTTTACTCTAGCATTGATGTTGTAGGTAATTATATTTCGTTTAGATAAATATTATTAGCGCAACAAAAAACATTAGCAGATGTAGCATTAATGAAGAATATAATATTGAAGCTGTTATGCTCTAAGAGTGTAACTAATTTCTTGAAAAATGTTCAGAATGCAGAAAAAGCTTGTCTTGTTTAAATATTGAGAATAGACACAAAAGTTAACCCTTAGTACTTTTATACTACTTTTGTGAATACAGACTCCTTGTTTTTGTTGAGAAATGACAGATCCTACCTCGGCAATGGTTTTAAAACAAAACAGAGTTCACCCATTTTTTCCAGTTATACTGTGAGGGTGTAATATAATACCATTGATGTAATGCCGTATTCACGAAAGTACAGTTTCCCCTTTTTGAAAAAAATAGCTTGCTGTAATGTGTGTTGTTGCAAAAGCCTGTACTCTTTGTTTTTCTTCCATGACGTAGTGAAATGAAGTTCATTATTTTTGTTTTGGAATATCATCTGTCATTCTTTATTATGTTTCTCATTCACTCTCTCTGTATCAGATAAAGACAACAAAATTTAATACATATATATTTGTTCACCCTGTCTTTGCTGTGGTATCTAAGTTTTAACATTCATCAAATATTTGTTCACCCTGTCTACTTTTTACTACTTTAAAAATTATCATCTTACTTTTCAATGTCAGGTAGTAGCATGGTTCAGCTTTCATGGTTGGCATGGCTAGTTAAAAGATTTTGTTGTGGCAGAATTGAGTGTAGTCTGTATTTACATTCACTTGAAATGTTTGTGAAACCTGAATTTTTAATGTAGAGAAATATTTCTGTTGCAGGTTTTTTTAAAAGGTTGTGCTTTACATGTTCATTAACTTATGTTTATAGGCTGCTAAAGTATTGACTGTTGTGTCTTTCATTGATTTGAATGTGATTCTTGCAAAATTTGCGATTTTTCTCTTTTTTATTTGTGGCTTATTTGAAATATTGGATTTTCTGGCTGGGAATTTTTTCATCTCTATGCTTTGCATTTTTAATGAAAAAACATATAATATAGCTTTTTCTGCTCTTTTGCTTGTTGATTCAGTCTATTAAAATTAGCGTTCCATTTTTAAAATCTTCCCCTGCTTCTCCGTCGTCCAGTTTTTGAGTTAATGTTCCATGTAGTAACATGCTGAATAAAAGCAAAATAAAGCTGAAAAATTCTGAAGTTAAATGTAAAGTTTACTTTTCTTCTTGCTTCAGAAAGTGTCATCTGTCCACCAGGTGCCCATTTGATCTGATTCAAATCATGTAGAGGCACAGTAGTAAGGGTACCAACACCTGTAATGTAGCAGTCATGCGCTCTACTGTAGCAAGCAGAGGACCTAAGTTCAATTCCTGCGTGGGAGAGAACTTTTATCTTGTATCTTGGGTCTTTTTGCTGGGATATGGGGGGGGGGGGGGGGGGGGGTAAAAACCCTCCCCTAAAAAATTGTAACAAAGTGATAAGAATGATTTGTGTCTTATCATGCTGTATGATTGCTTTCGCAACCATATGTCACATATTTTCATTCACCCCACCTTCTTTATGGCTTTTTGAATATATGTTTTTTGCAACTATTTATTGATAATGAGAATGGGATAGGCCTAATGGTTTCTCTTAGAAAGAAATTGCCTATGTCAACAGTTCAGCTGCCAAACTACACCCATTGAAAAATTTAAAAGGATTTAGTATGACATTGTACTGTGTCTGAAGAATATCATTGGCAGGCTGTTCAGCTGTTCTAAACCCAGAAAGCAACATTCTCCGGGAGAGAGAAAATAAAACCTGTTTTATTCTTTTTAAAAAATTGATCTTGTATTGGGTGTCTTTTTTTTTGTTACTTTTTTCAACATTTAGAATTTGAGTTTCAACAAAATACTTTTCGAACGCATGCAACCAATACTTCAGATTAAGAAACTAGAATTTTAAAAATTGTCAAAATTTTGGGTGAAGTACACCTGAACAGGTGGTCGATGATAATTACTAAACATATTCATAGGTGAAGCCCTGAGTGTCGACTTCTGTTAGTCATGTGTACATATGACCTTGAGGCATTTTGATGGCTACATGAGTGGCAGTGAAATATAGCTTATTGCTACGTTGTTTATCGGATTATAAAGAACTTGGACCAGGTCAAGTGTAAAGCCTGTTGTGTCTATGTCCCAGCTTCTCACATTCCTTTACCTTTCTGAGCACAAGACTTAACAAAAATCAGGAGGGATTATTCCCGAGATCTGGATCACTGAACTCCCTCCTCAAGGGGAGCAAAGTGAAACAGGGTCAAAAATACATTTGGCTAATATCATCAAATACGTCTCTTGAATATTCCTGCTTGTCGTCACAATCATCTTGTCCACCCCCTTCCCCCCACACCTATTCCCTCCCTCATTATATGTTTCAGTGGCCCTTCAGACCGTGGCTGGTTCCATTGACTCTGGGCCAGATGATGAACCTCATGCTCCAGAAGATGCTGTAAGTTCCGATACATCTAGTGACTTTGCCCTCCCCGAGGACATTGCTGCTGTCGATGCGAAGAGGGAGTTCTCCCCAGATGTGTTCACACCTCCACGATCTAGGCCAAGCTCTGCCAGCACAGGGAGAGGAAGCCCCATACCTTCTTGGCTGGAAAAGGTAACCTGAGATTTTATTGTGAAACCTTAACTTTCTTTAAGCGGGGATACATCTTGTCTGTGCTGTTGGCCCTTGGCAGAGTCTTCAGAGTGCCGCCTTAATGAAATATGTGTGAGCCCCAAGAAAGGTCCCAGTTGTTGCCAATAAAGCTATTTTTGAGCAACTGGAAGAAAAGGCTAAAAAAGTCAAACTTGGTCCAAAATTTAGTTCCGTTAGAAAACACAAGTTTAACCATTTCTTAATAAAATATTGAAAGGGTCCTATTATGTTAAGTCTAAATTTTGCAACATGTACTTCACCAAAGGTTAAAAATGTGCTAGAGATTGGGCTTTTCTCCAAACTTTGCTTTTACACCCTGTGTTACTAAAGGCGGCGTATCTTTAAAACTACTCAAGATATTAGGAAAATATAAAAATCAGTGTGTTCAGCATTAAATTTGTTACAAGAAGTACCTTTATTTTAATATCCAAAAGTGTCGACAACTGGGCCCTTTCTCAAGGCACGCACACAAATGATATGTATACCTGACTGCTCTATTTTCCTTGGTTGTGAAGAATGGCCTGGATCTCTGCGGCTCTTGTGTCTACTCAGTTATGTTGTCAGTCTATTGTTTCTTTCATTTTCATGCTTAGCTAATGTAAAGGTCATTTCCTTCTCTTCTCCAAGTGCTTTTATACATGTACTGGTTACAGTGTTGCTTTCAGTCCCAGTCTTTTTTGTTACCCTTAGCACATTCAAATCGCTTTCTCATGGATACTATAGGCCGTGTCCGGGGAGTGCTATGCCTATAGCCCTTGTATTGACAAACTTGGAGTTGTGGGTGATTTTTAAAAAATCTAGGTATTAGGCACATTTTCAATATAATGACAGTGAATGGTTTGGTTTTGATACTTGGCTCATTTGGGAAGTAAAAACATGATTGTTCAGATCTTTTGTTAGCAATCTGGATGTAGTTAATTGATTTTTTAAGACAAGTTATCATCATCCAATAAATTGAATATTATATAACCATTTATGTGTGGGTTTTTTTTTGTGTGCATGTGTTTTTTTTGTGTGTGTGTGCGTTTGACTGTGTGTGTGTGTGTATTTGTGTGTGTGTGTGTGTGTGTGTGTGTGTGTGTGGCTTTTATGTGTGTATGTGTGTGTGTGTGTGTGTGTGTGTGTGTCTGTGTGTCTGCATGCTTGTGTGTGTGTGTGCATGTGTGTGTGTGTATGTGTGTGTGTGTGCCCTTGTGTGTGTGTGCCCTTGTGTGTGCATGCTCAGAAGTGGGAATATGTGCTTTTGATTCTCTTTTCCAGGAACTCAATGAGGCAGAGGTCATCCCATTCCCAACACCTTCCCCCATTGTGTGGGATAAGAATGCACATCCTCTGGGACCCAAAGGAGAAAAGCCGTCCCCCCTGCCTCATGTTCCTGAGCTTTCTGTGGCTAATGCTCTACCCCCCATCAAATCACCCGATCTTAAACTACTCATTCCTTCTAATGACGTAAGTGTTTATTCATTGATTGACACCACATTTTAAAGGTCCCATGTCAGAGTCAATGACAGTATAGGCCTAACAAAAATTCATGACCTAAGAAAATTGAGAGGACAATTTGAGCAATAAATTGATTTGAAACTTTGAACATCGTTTATGATGAGTTTTGGAGTGAAACATTAATTCTTTTTTCTTTTGGATTTGAGCTAGGACTCAGAAAGGGAACATGGCGTACCTATTGTTTCAATTTATAAATTAAGTACATAACGATATATACTATAATGAAAATATTTTTAAAAAACCTGATATATGCTGTTTGTGGAGACTGTCTGAATCGACTGTTTTTGTTACCCCCCCTCCCGCCCCCCCTTCCACCTTAGGCTGAGACTGTGGCATTTCTTACATCCAGAGTGGCCAAGCTCGAGGAGGAAAACTTGAAGGTATTGTACATAAACTTGTTCACAGTCTAGGGGAGGGCAATCTGCACCATGGTGTCAGAATAGAAATTTGAAATTACTTATGTGCAGTCTTGATACAGCATGAGGTCTTGCACTATAGCTTTTGAGTTTTTAAGAACTTTCTTCAACTGCTCACTTGGATTTTCAATTAGCACTCCAGGATGCTGTGTACTGATGGGTTTAGGAAGATTAACAGAAGCCCCACGGAAAGGTAAAAGCAAATAGTTGGTGTTTATACATGAGTTAGGAAAAATTTTAGAGCCTGGGTTTTATCGCCAGCTTTGTCTTAATGAATTTTTATTTTTTCATCAGATTACATGTCTATATTTTGGACTTTTATCTATTTAGAATTGTTTCTGATGGTTGTAGAATCATTTGGAAACTTAAGTCAATCAAACTTCTATCTTTTAACATGAGTTATTGATTGACAGGTAAAGACATACCATAGTCTTTTGACTAACATTTACAAAGATTGTGGCAACCTGAAATTGTTCTGCTGGTTGTGTATTTGTTTTTGTTCTGTGTGTAATAGTCCTTGGATAATAGATGGATTTTGTGAAAATAATAGCTTTGGGTATTTCCTGATATGATTTAACTTGTTTATATCTCATTCTTTAGTTTAAGTTGAAGTGCATTAGCTTGTGGGAATAGTAGAATTGATTAATGCTTCTTTGAACATTTCCATTATCATTTTCTTTTCAGCTGAAGCAAACTGTTGAAGAACAGGCAGAGCTGATTAAAAAACTGAGAGGAGATGGTGTTTAATTAAAGTTTTAAGCTGCTGGTTGAAGACGCTCTTCTTTGTAATGAATTGGCGAATGACTTCAGAAAATAAATTATGTTGTCATGTTGGTAACAGGTAAATACACCTACTGTAGTGACTGTGGACAGCAGTGATAACAGATTCTTGTGCTGTGTAAAAGAGAAAAGTTTTAGGGGGACGAAAGTGTTGCCAAATAAGACATACTTGGCCTTATACAAAACGATTTGAAAAGTGAACTCAAACAATGTTCTACTCTGGAATTCTTAATTGCTAGAAATGGTGTTCTTTTGAAATTCTTTCTCAAAGATATTGAATAAGTTTTGTTCAAAAGGGGCAGGAGTTTGGAAACAAAAATTCTACTTTCTTATGTTTACTTTGCAATAATTATGCTGTTTGTGTTACTTAAAGAGAAGTTTTTAATTATGTCTTTTTCTGTAAGTTGCTGTGAAGCTGTTCTTTGATATATATGGAAAACTAATTGAAAAACTGATGTATTTGTTCTATGAGCATTTGATTTAGTTTTTTTGTTTTTAATGAATCTTCATAGTCATTCCATTTGTGTTCATTATTTTGATTTGATCTATTCTGTCTTTATTTATAACTCCATCAAGATCTGAATCACTTATTTATTTCTTTATAAACTCTTAATTTACATGAAATACAGTCAAACCTGCTTCAGTAGCCACCTCTTGTAGCGGTTACCTGCAATAACAGCCACTGATACCCTTGTGTTGTTATATATTTTTAACATGTCCATAGTAGTCCCTGTCGAGTGCGGCCACAGTGAGTCATTTTCTTGACAAGTTTGCCTCTAAACCTATTCATAGCGCATACTTCATCATCATCATCATCATCATCATTCTCATCATCATCATCATCATCATCATCATCATCATCATCATCATCATCATCCTCATCATCATCATCATCATGTTTTACAGTAGAAAAAATGTACTTGAGGCTTGGATAAGGTTGGTCACATTTAATCAGATGTTCTTATAGATGTACAATATTTCGCCATCATCATTTTCATCATCTTCATCATCTTCATCATCATCATCATCATCATCATCATCATCATCATCATCATCATCCACCTCTTTCACCTTGGTATTGGATATAGCCTACTATGAAGGGCTCTCCACTTGTTTCTACTCTAGGCGAACTTTACCACCTCCAGTCAGCTGTGTCTCACACCTGAGATCTACCTCTAGGTCTCACTCTCAAGTGAATCTCAGCCAATCTCTCTTTCTCCTGTGGGATTCAATATTTGGCTTTGTTTTGTCACTTAGTGGAGTAGCTTCCCAAGTGTATTAATAATCCATCACCATCTTCATTTTATTAATTTCACGGTCAATTGGTTGTCAATACGACCGTACTACATGTATTACATTTAAAGCAATGACTTGCTACTAAAGAACAGTATTCCATTAACCTATCTTCAGACTGAGCATTCAGTCAATGCAAAGAAGAAGGTCTTATGATAGATTACAATTTTGATGGAAATGAAACGGCAAGATATAATATTAAGATTTAATCTATATGCGGAATCAGGCACTCGTAAATTTTTTAGCATATAGAGTTATTGATTTAATCTTAAAGCTTGTTTATAATTTGTCTGGCATTTGGCAAAAAAATTACTGTCAAGATATATGCGACTGAAGGAGATGGGGGTCTGCAGATACGAGAGGTAAAATTCTCGAGAAATGGCCACCAAAGTTTGATGACTTCCAAAACTTGAATGTCCTTGGAAACTGAAAAGTTATATTTTTTATGCCTTCAATAAATATTTTTCGGTAACACCTACACAGAAATGCGTTCTTAAAAAGACCTGAAAGGTGTTGAGCCAAAAAAATAAAATTCAATAGAAATTGCTCAATGCCCAGAAAAGTGCCGGATTCTCATATTTCATTGTTTTGACGAGCGCCTGATTTCACCACGCTGCTTTTCATTTGTTTTTTAACTTTGTCAAGTCTAGTATGTGACTAACACACACTGTACATAATGGCCATATATTTTTGTGATCTTGAGTGACTGTTATGGACAGGCTTGACTGTATTTTTCATGTTGACATTATTTTTACATATTAATAGACTATAAGTCGTGGTTGTGAACTGTTTTGTAAGCTTGATGATGACGATTAGGTCTCAGTCAAAACTGTATATAAAATTCAGATATAATATAAAGCACACTTCTGAATCTAAAGATAATATTTTACTAGGAAGTTAGTTTAGGAGAAACATCCTTTTTCTCCATCTAAGACTTATGTTTAATGTTTTGAGCAGTGAATAAAATAATGGACATAAAAAATTAAAAAGCTGCATAAACTGGTAAGTGATAAAATACTGTTTCAGGTGAAATTGTGCTACCCCGATTCTCAAGATTTAGAAGCTCATTTAAACCTGGTGCTTTTTTTGGGATAAGATTGCGTTGGAGGTAAATAGGAAGGAATTTAAAGAAAAACTTCAACAAATTTTGCCTCCTTCATATTTACTGCCCAGTGTAAAACTCTGTCATATGCCACTTTTTAATGTGTCATGACGTGGTGGAATCAAACACTTGTCAATTTTTGTGAATATGGAGCTATTGGTAGGCCTACAGTCTTAAAGTCTTATAGCTTTTTTATTTGTCTTACTTACAATGAAAGAAATACTGATCTATCTTGAATAGAAACTGAGATATCTGCGATTGAAGGAGGTGGGGGGTCGCCTGATTTCAGAGATAAGATTAGCGAGAAAATGGCCGCCAATGTTAGGTAACTTCCAAAGCTTGAGAGTCCTTGGAAACCGCAAAAGTAGATTTGTTGTGGCTTTAAGCAAAGTTTTTTTTAGTGAAGTCCACACAGAAATGTGTTTTTACATGAATTTTAAAGGTGTTGACCCAAAAAACAATAATTTGATAAAAACTGCCAAACAAACAGTACAAAATGCCGGTTTTTTTCTTCAATTTCATCATTTTGATGACTGCCTGATTTCACCACACTGCCTCACATATATGGCATATGACGATGTCATACACTGAGCAGTTGATATATTCACTTTTCACTTTTTATTTTCAGTTTATAGTTATCATTATATTCAAGTTTTGAGGAAATGTTTTTCTGTAAAGTTAATGTGCTGTTTTTCTTAAAACTGAAAGCTAAGACAGAATACTTTTGTTTTCTGTTGCGCTAGGATTTTTTTTTTTTACCAGAGAAGACAAGTGTAAGAATTTGAATGGTGCAAGGGAACATGGAAGTTTCACATTGATAAATTAAATTCGTGCAATATAATAAGGATTTGTATCTTCTTGATGTATATTGTTGGATTATATCAATATTTATTTCTCTTTAATTAACTAGGACATTTTCACGTAATTCAGAAGGACTTTTGACATGAAAGAAGTTATTTCTAAAGTCTACTTATCTAGAGAGACTTATTTTACTTTTTAGAGAGTATCATTGTCTTTTTTCTTTGTTTCTGTCTCTCTTGTTGAATGGACATCTGTATTGTTAATAACTGGACGGTGAATTGGCATATTTAATTATTTCATTCAATTTTTTTATACTGACGTATATTCTACTTATCGGGTTGAAGTTTTTTTTGACTTGAAAAACCCCCCAAAACCCACACTTCGTTTTAACTGATCTCAGAGCATAGTACAACCTATAGCAGTGCGTATCAATTGGGGGAAAATGGATGATATGTGTTAAAAGATGTTTTTTTGGTAATTTCTGCTGAGACCGATGTGAGTATGATGTTGCAGGGCTGGCGTGCACTCAGTTGTGAGATTTTGTTATGATATATTTCCAGGATTCATTTAAGTGAACAAGTACATAATATATGTTATGATTTATACTCTTTGTGTGCTTTGTGTGGACTGTCTAGAATAGTTTGAGTATGAGAGTGCAGAAGGAATGCTTTCCAAGTTTGAATGGGACTATTGTTCTGTTATCTACGTACAATAAAGTTTGCTTTCTTTGGAGTGAATTTCATGAAATGTTTGTTTTTACAAATGAATTCTTTATATTTTAAAAACTTTTTCTTGTGTAAGGCTGAACTAGAATCACTGACGATGATTGTATTAAATGCTGTGATTGGGTCTCTTTGAAAGTATGGGTACAGTTGATTGAGATGCACATAATGGGAGATAATTTGCTGCTTGGAAGGGGGTTCTTGAAGCTGTCAGGAAGTGAACCCAAAAAGTGTCACAGTATTACAAGTCAAGTCATCTTGATGTATGCAGTAGAACACTTGGACATAATACCCCCCCCCCACCCCACCCCACCAAACAAATCCAAGAACGCCCCATTGGGGATTCAAACCAAGGGCATCTGCGCCTAAACCTGGTATGATATCAACTGAGCCAACGTTGCACCGCACCCATTTGTGTCTATTAGGGTTTCATGTTATACTACATCGTCATGTCCCCCTATCCATCTACCCAGTGCAGAAAAAAGCTGTAAACTGTAACTGAATATTATTTTAGAACTCCTTCGATACATCTATTTCTTTTAGGAGACAGGCTGCTTCGACCGTGTCTTGCCATGGCCAGCTTGTGGCTGAGTAGGATACATTCCGCAACACAGATCTTCTCCACTCCTGAAATCGCACTCAAGTCTTCTTTGTGCCACTGCGAAAAAACCTAACCACTACACCATAGGCCTAAAAGATGGGCTTCTTTACAAGCAACACTTTAATAAGTGTAATTATGAAATAATTATTAAAAAACAAAACAAAACAAAAAACAAGAAAGAGACAGTTTTCTATATTTTTGTAATGGTCTCTCAACAGATCACAACACGGGATTAAGTAGAGTTTGAAAGGAAAATTGCTTTTCAGACCTGGAAATAATCACAGCCAATAAAATATAAACCTGTGTACCGTCCCTGCGGATTTTTTTTTTTACATCAAAGAATGTATACGCTTTTACTATCCTGTAGTGCTCATTCAAGATACCAACTTCTTGCATAAAGCTATCACAACTTCACAACAACAGGGACTCTAAAGAATTTCTTTGCATTCTTCTGCCTTACGTTCGACGGCCAATGTGTGAAGTTTTCTTTTAAAAAAAGTAGACTCCACTAGAGGGTATTGGCGCCTCACTGGTTTTGTGCAATAAAGTAATGCTCCTGAAATAGTAACAGCATCAAAAGGAACGAACAAGCACAACAGTCGCACAAAACACTTAAACACTCTTGCAACTGTAGACGTTTAAGTATAACAGAGACTTTAGCATAGGCTTTCAAATGTTATCAACCTTCTTAGTAGAAGATGAAACAGATTTTGGCGAAACAACATTATGTAACATTTAGATTAATTGCTCGAAAAGAACAAAAATTCACACACAGCCCCGAGGAGTTTGTTGGAATGCTGCAACCGAAGAACATTGGATGTTTCCAGAAATTTCTTTTCAGAAAATATTTTCTTCTCAAGTAAGTTTGCCTTGTCGAAAAATGTTAGAAATTAATTTACACCTTTGATCAACAGTTTTTAAAAATATTAAAACGAAAGTTTATCTTATATTTCAGACGTTTCGATAAATTCTGCTATTACCACCAGGGTTGATTTTTGGATTTTTGTTGGATTTGATTGTGCATTTTTACTGAGAAGATATAAGTTTTCTAAGAATTTCTCCCAATACACTTTGCTGACTATATGAGCTTTCTGTAGTCGGTTGTTTCTGAAAAAAAAACAAAAGAGTGAAAGAAAAATTAGTATAGGTCTACATGTATTTGCCTAAATAAAGCTTTTGTTGGGTTACTTTTTGTTGCCCCCCTCCCACCCTCCCCCACCCCTGGTAGTTTCAGTAGTCTAGTTGATCTTTGTCTGTCTGTCTGTCTGTCTGTCTGTCTATCTGTCTGTCTGTCTGTCTGTCTGTCTGTCTGTCTGTCTGTCTGTCTGTCTGTCTGTTTCGCTCGATCGCTCGATCTCTCACTTCTTTTCCCTTCTTGCTTATTGCACCGGTATACAACACTAACAAAACTATTACATCACTGTAGGATCTAAGAAATTAAACAACATAGATAGGTAGGCAGATAGACAGATATATGGATAGACAGACATACAGACAGACATACACACACACACACAGATAGACAAATAGATAGAAAGATAGATAGAAAGATAGACGGACGGACGGACGGACAGACAGACAGACATATAGACAGACAGATACTTACAGCTTCTTCAACTTTGTCTATGATGTTTTCCAAAGCATTTTCCACATAAGCATTCTGTGCTCCGTTCTCAGTGTTGAGTAGACTCTGCAGCTTCCCAATGGTCTGCTCCACCTCATGGCTATTGTCATCGGTCTGAAATACCAACATGCAATGCAATGGTCAAATAAATTGAAAGTTGAACTCTTTTATATATATATATATATATATACAACAATGACAGCATAAAAAATAACAAGGAGTTCAAAATAGATCAAAACATATTAGGATGTTTTCCCTTTTTAGCCTTTCCCACGTTGTTTAGAAAACAAACAAACAAACAAACAAACAAGCAAACAAACAAAAACCCCAACCTCCAAACAAAACGCCAAAAACCAATACCCCCCAAAACAACAACAACAACAATACAGAATAAATATAAAAATCCCAAATGCCTATAATAATTTATATGAAACCGATTTCTCTTTATCATATTGTATCTGGCCATCTGCGCAGTTGGAGACTGTCACATTTTTACTGTGATTTGTCTTACGACTGGCTTTACTACCGAACAAGGATTGATGTACCGACAGTCAAATACATGCATAAGTAAATTAACCAGTCGTAATTTGTCTGAGTCTCCTCCCTGCTCCCTCAATGAAAACAACAATGAAAAAAACAACACAATCAAAACACGAGAAAACAGTAGATACGACGTGATAAAGTCTTAGAAATACAAAACACAAGAAAACACCAGTAAATGACCACCATTACCACCACCACCACCACCACCACCATCACCATCATCATCATCATCATCATCATCATCATCATCATCATTATCATCATCATTATATAAAGAAGGTACTAAAACAGTTAAGACCTTGCTGTATTTCCAAAAATATATATTTTTCACGACGTGGCATCTTCATCATCATCATCATCATCATCATCATCATCATCATCATCATCATCATCATCATCATCATCATCATCATCATCATCAGAAGCAACAGCAGCAACAGCAGCCCCACCATTAACACCACTATCCCCATCATTACTCCAAACTTCTGCTGCCAACGCTGGTCATCATCATTACTACCCCCACTTTAAGAATTCTCGTGACAACACATTTCAAGGACCGCTTATATTTCGAAATAAGATTTAAAAAGCTTTAAAATAATTAAGAATTAGATGTTGTGATTTCAGTGCGACAAATAGGTCTGAATTTGATACGAGCTGCATCATCGGAGATAGTCACAATTTCATTATTTTAAACTAAATTTCCAGATCCATCTCGACTGTACAAGAAGTTGCTGTGAAAATAAACTTGCAACTTTCCTGTGCCCTCTAACGTTTCTCAACAACGCACAGCACTCGACCTAAACAATTTAGCTGACTATAATATTTAGAAAGATGTAGGCCAAAATAGTTATTACTTGGAATTCATTTATCAAACTTGTAAATAAAAGTTGTTTCTCGTGAATTTGACCTGGAATGTTTCTTTTTTGTGTTTTTAATCTGGCGCTCATATGACCTTATGCAGTTGCGAGCGCCGTAAAATCTCTACTAAAACTAAACTAAAAAAAGACATGACTGAACATGCCCATGAAGCTGTCAAAGGTGCGACAGGTCCATAAATAGCGATAGGTCCTAAAGGTGCAACAGGTCCATTAATATTGTTTTGTACTCTTGCAGTTCACATTTGTGCTCGACAAAACATTAGGCTTACCGTAAAAACAAAGTGTTAAATTATTATTTTGCCGTAAAGGCGATTAGCGCAAGGCGTTCTCTGGTCAGGTAAGAGGCGCTACTATTAAGTCAACCATAGATCGCTACAGGCAATTGGAGAAGTGAAATTTAGAAGAAATGCCATGCAAGTTATACAATATGGTATAATATTAATAACAAGCATGCAATGGTTTTCATGGGTTATACAATGAAATGATTTTAAAAAATAAATAGATTCTAGTTCAAAATGATTGAGAAAAATGCGCAAAAATGTTAAAGCCACAAAGGCAAGAAAATAAGGAACAGTCATTAAAACAATGAAAATAGCTGAGTATAGTGTGTAACTACGTAGTTTGAGTATACACTCCCCGTATAAAATGGCAAAAGAGCAGACGTTATACAATGTAAAGTGATAATGGATTAAGTGATTCAAAGACGTGTTTGAAGGATAATAAGCAAATTGATATAGAGACAAAAGAATATAAACTTGTTACGAGTAATAGGGCCCTTGGCCAGTGGTTTATAATATCATCAGACTCCTATTTCAACACTTGTTTCAAAGACTGAGAGGAAACCGCAGCTTTGGTATCATGTAGGACAAAATAAAATATGCATCTTTCACTCACAGATACGACAATGAATACATTTAAGTTTTGGGTGACATTTTGTTCCATTCGAAAGGTATAACGTGTAGTTGAAACATTTTTATACTTGTTGTGTCGTTTTTATAATATTTCTTCGAAAATGCCTGTTTTATAGCCTTCTTCCACCCCTTTTTTTTTCAATGTAATTCACTACTTCATAATTTCTGTGTACCAAGTTCCGCCCAAAAATCTTATAACGAATAAAGATAAAAATAATGTGTAAAACAGAAGGAAAGTACTTGTACTCAAAGTATTTCAAGATTTAAACAGAAATTTCTAGACAAAAACATTTCATAATGGAAAAAGGCAAGACGAATGTTCCCTTTGGGTGTACTAGAACCCTAAATTATGACGGGGAGAGATTTTTTGTTGTTGTTAGATACTAAGGTTTATTTGCATTCATGAAGGCTTATCATGTGCACAGAAATATCTCAAATGAAAGGATTTTAAAGAAAGTTTGACATAGATTCTTTAAGACTACCCGTGGGGTGGGGGGACATTTATATTTCGGCAATGTTGTGTGGGTTATTTTTGTAACTGGTTTCGCTTGGCAAAAATCATAGAGCGACAGAACATAAGTTCATACATAGCCTATATACCTACCACCACCCCCTCTAAAGAAAATAATTTAAGAATTTAAAAAATCCGTTTTCCCAAATATATATCTCCCTCCATAATTATTTTCTCATTTGTTTAATGTCCTTGTCTAATAAGATCTCGTAAACTTTGCTGTTTATAATTCAATTTCCAATAAATTATTTGTGTTCTTCACAACACAAACAGACGACATTATAATTATAGATTTCGTCTGAGATATTTTATTTCAAAGCTAAATGGGGTACAGTTAGATTTTTCCTGTAAAAGAGCTAAAAAAAGAAGCCTTTATATGACCAAAATGCTAAATAATGGACCCATTTCATGAGCCTTAGTACACTCAATTTGAATGCAAAAAAGTGGTGCTGATCGGACGAAAGTTAATAATGCATGTACATAATTTTTAAAATTAGACAAAACTTAAAAGATTGCCGATACTTCCAAATTTATTATGTCAAAGATCACGTGAAACAATTCAGTTTTCAAGCTTTTCATTGCTTCTTTAGACACATAATCATAATGTACAGCAAGACAACGCTGGTTGTTGGAGGTGACTCTGGTATTCTACTTGTATGCTCTCCGTCAATAGTTTCTGTCTCTTTAAATTTTGCTTTCTCAGTAGCGCTGATTAAATGACTGTTATAATGTCTACCAGCTTTACTCAAACAGAACTAAACAGCAAGATTCCAAGTTTGAATTTTCTCTAGCAGATATCCAAAAAGCCAAACGACTCACCTTACTGAACAATATATTTATCATTATTGTATTTATTTTTTACCAAAGGATATTATTTCGGTAACTAGAATACCTCGTGCGAATTTGACAGGAAACATACTAATAAATTACCTATTTGATAATTTTATTAGGTGTGATTTCCAATACGTAGAGAAAGATATGTGGCAAACCAGAACACCATATAAAAGTACAAGCGTATATAATTACCGCATTCATTATGTAGAAGTAAGTGACAAACACCGTATACCCACATAATTTTTTAATGACAATTAAAACAGCAAGTGTATATAATGCCTTTTATGATAATGACATAAGGCGCATCAAAAATCGTTACAAAAAAGCAACAACCCAAGAATATATATTTCTTAAGAAAAAACAAAAAACATCAAACTATTTCTTGATCAGACCTCCAAGTCGTCCAGAAGTCTTGTAAGCAAGCGTTTGTCAAGTCGGTTACCCTCTGAGTAAACATCCTATGAGTGCACGAGCACAGAGACCATAGCGTGAGCAACGTTCAAAGAGTAATAGTTACACATACAACATAATACAATCCAGCACAGATATCATAGCATAGGAAATATGCAAAGAGCCATAGTTCAAAACGCAACATAATATAATACAGCACACAGACCACAGCGTTGGAAATGTGCAAAGAGCCATAGTTCAACACATAACATATTACGCAGTATTATCTCAATGAAGGTAAGTGCGTGATAATGTAAAGAACAAAAAAAAAGAACCTCCATATCAGACTAACTGTTTGTTCCAGCCATTACACCCCTCCTTTCCAATTTCCTCCCTTCTTTCGTTTATCTATCTATCTATCTATCTATCTATCTATCTATCTATCTATCTATCTATCTATCTATCTATCTATCTATCTATCTATCTATCTATCTATGCGTCTTTTGACAAGCTTGTTTACCATCTGATCAGTATAAAGAACATGACACTGTTTGTCTTGCCCTTTCCTCCTGTCTTGTTTTGCATTGTACCATTGCATTCTACTTTGTGAAAAGATAAAATCTTTGTGAAACGATACAATGGAAGGGAGACTTTTCAAACGCCTATAATCTCCATGGAGGTAACTTGTTCTGTTATTTAAAAAAAATATCCACTGGTTACTGTAATACCAACTGAAATAAATGAACATGTTAACAACAAACAGGCGAATGAAAAGTGTCTGTCGTCAAGGATATCCCGCCAAGAGCAGTGAGAATGCGGTAGAACTTGCAAACCCGTGGGATAGTGGGAAAAGGAGCGCAGAAAAGGATGACACGGGAGTGGGAAGCAGAGACCGGGTTGGTGTGCTAGAGAAAAAGAAAAGGGGGGTGGGTGGGAGAGGAGAGATAGATAGATAGATAGATAGATAGATAGATAGAA